GCTCTAATCTCATTGTACATGGGGCATTGGAAGACATAATGAATTAATAATATCCTTCATTTGAGCAACACCATATGAAAAATGCTGACGATTGAACTGTGATGGCTTCATATTAGATCAGTGTTTCTCAACCTGAGGGACTTTACGATGTGTAGACTTCAACTCCCAGAATTCTTCAGCCAGCATGGGGAATTCTGGGAGTTGAAGTCCACACATCTTAACATTCCCAAGACTGAGAAACATGATTAGATATTAGTAGATAGGAGCATTCAGGTTCTTGATTACAGCAGCAACAGATGCATCCAGGAAAGTCTGCAGGGACAGGCTGAGGACAGTTCAAGATGTAGAGCAGGGGTCTCCAACTTCTGGGGCCACGGCCTATTTGAAACTGGGTCACAGGAGAAATGCACACAAAGCTCCACTCCCATGAGTGCAGGGTGCTTCTGTTTGTGCACGCAGCTCCGCTCATGCAAGTGGAGGGTGCATGTGTGCACACTGTGCAAAATCGAGCTGTGTGTGCATGTGCGCCTACTACTCACAAGCATACACATCCCCCTGCGCCAGGCCGCCAAACTGGAAAGGTTGGGGATTGCTGCTGTAGAGGGCTCATGAATGTAAGTGTTGACACTGACTTGATGTACATAACTAAATCGGGTGGGATTCAAATTTTTTAACAACCAGTTCTGTGGGCGTGGCTTAGTTGGTGGGCATGGCTTGGTGGTCATGTTATTGGCTGGGCGTGGCCAACTCAATATCACTCACATCGAGGCATGCTTCTCCTTGGCTGGCCTCTCGTGACTGTGGGGATGCTGCAACAGTTGTAAGTGTGATAAATGGTCATAAGTCACTTTTTTAAGTGCCATTGTAATTTTGAATGGTCCCTCCACACAAGCAAAGTACCAGCAAAGGAGGAAAAAAAATTCCAGAGACGTTCCTGAGACAGGAAGTCTAGTCCGGCCAAGAATGTAATAAGGGTTAACAGAGAGGAGAGCAACACCAGAATGTTTCCTTCCTGCCTTCCTTACAGGATTAGGCCAGTAATTTCTTCTAACAACCGGTTCTCCAAACTGCTTAGAATGTTAACAACCGGTTCTAGTGAATAGGTGTGAACTGGTAGAATCCCACCCCTGCATCCATCCATCATCAAGCTAGATGTTAGCAGACGGGAATAGATTCAGGCTGGATACTGGGAAGAACTACCTAACCACCAATAAAATAGGTTGCCTCGCAAAGCAATGTGCCTGCTTTATTACAGGTCCTTGAAGAGAACCAGGATAGCACTACGTCTGAAATTCTTCAGCAGATCTTGAATCATTTAGGAACTTGGACTGGATGATTTTGATTCTCTTCCAACTCTGTGCTTTTATTTTTGTATTGTTCATAAGGCTGAGACCTAGATAAAGCCAGCCTGGAATGCATATATATGCAAATTAAGGTTTCAGGAATGTTTTTTTCAAAATCTGCAAGATGATGGGCATGAACTAGTGATCTAAGCCCCATTCCTTCCATCATGCATAGAATCATAAATGCATCCAACTGTCATAAATACATGCCAATTGCCAAGCGTCTGAATTTTGATAATGGGATGCTGCAACGGGCATTAAATGTGAAAAATGGTCATGTCACTTTTTTCAATGCTGTTTTCAGTTTGTCATTAAACAAACAGTTGGGGCCACCTGTAACCCTTTTCTCTCATTTGCCTAGCACAACTCTGTTGAGAGTTATGTTGACTTGAAAACTGCCTACTGTATCCCAGAGCCCATTGTAGCATCACTGGCACATGTTTATGTTTCATCAGCGCTTGCCATCTGTGGGAAGAATATGATTAGCTCACAAGCTTCTGGTTTGTGTAATGATCAGACCACAAACCCACACAGGACAGGATTCAACAAAATAACAAAAGAGTATTGCAAAAGGAGCAATGCTTTGATTTTTATATCAAAGCAGCGCTCAGAATTACTATAAGAAGCAACCTGCAGTTCAATTATTGGTGAGTAGAAGACTAACAGCATTGGAAAATCCCAGGTTCAGCCTCCATTCACTGATCGGTTTGCTGCTTTGCCTGGGTTGGTACAGTAAATTAAGCAATAATATGGCTGGCTTGGTTTTGGGTGAGTGCACTTGGTCAGCCGGTCTGTTTATAATCCATTAGTTTATGTATTCAATGACAGGCACAGCCAAAGAGCTGTGTCCCATGGGCCATACGATGCCCATGTCTGTTCTAGAGGGTGGGAGTCACAGCAGAAAAAGTCCATCTTAAGGGTCCAATCCAATGGAACTCCTTAATAGATGGGATCTGTATTATATCCCTCATGATAAGGTGGGTAAATGTAAGAGGGCAGACCTGCAGTTAAGTGGTGGTGGTGATGCAGTTATTAGACTAGAATGGAATAGAATACAGTATTGCAGGCTAATTCAACTCATTGCCAGCAGTCCAATTCAGAGTGCCTCAAGGTTGACTCAGCCACCCATCCTTCCAAGGTCAGAAAATGAGGACCCAGATTGTTGGGGGAAACTCTGTAAACTGCTTAGTGTGTGTTGTAAAGCGCTGTGAAGTGGTATATAAGTCTTAGTTCTATTGCTGTAAGTCCCTGGGGATCAGGTGTTTTTAGGGTTTTTTTTAAATTGGTTTGGGGGAAAAACAAAAACAATCTGAAATCCCATTACCATCATTTTTTGACTTACAACATTTAACAACAGTTGCAGCAATTTGAAAAGTATATGGTCAAAACTTGGGTATTTGGTAACTGGAGTATATTTATGAGGATTGCTGTCGCTATTTGCCTAACTCCTACAAGATTCGCTTAACAACCATGGCAGAAAAGGCCATAAAATCAGATGCAATCCACTTAACAACTGCTTTGGAAATTCTGGTTTCAATTGTGGTCATAAGTCAAGGACTACCGGTTATTAAATGTGATGATGTGGGTGCAAAATAGCTAAAGGGATGCCTGGACTACAGAACCTGATACCTGGTTAAATTCTCCATTCAGGATATTAATTGGCATGTCTACCTGAGCTACTCAAGTACAAATGGCCATCCATCCAAGAAGTGTCTCAGATTCAGAAACACCACTATAATGAATCAACGATAAAATAAAGGCAAGACATCACTCTTTTTTTCCTGAAGTTGCCCAGCTTGGTGGATCCCGAGCAGAAGAGATATTGCCAGATGTGTAGGCTCACCTTAGGAACATGCACTGAATGTCTGTGTCCTTGTTTATTTACAGATTGTCCTAGATTTACGACAATACTTGAGCCCAATATTTCCAATGCTAAGACAATTTCCAATTTCCATTGCTGAGTCTTGCCCCGTTTTATGCTACAGTTGTAAAGTGAATTGCTGCAGTTAAGTTAGTAACACGGTTGTTAAGTGAATCTGGCTTCCCCATTGACTTAATCAGAAGGTTCCCAAAAAGGGACCACCCGATCCCAGAACACTGCAAACATCATAAATATCAGCCAGTTGCCAAGCATCTGAATTTTGATTATGTGACAATGGGGTTGCTGCAACAGTTCTAAGTGTAAAAAACAGTCATAACCCACTTTTTTCAATACTGTTGTAATTTCGGTCACTGAACGAATAGTTGTAAGTTGAGAACTACCTCTATCAATGAAGCATTGAAATATATGGCTTTTCCCTAGTTTCATTCTTTTTCATTTTTTTTACTTTTTTTTAATTTAGTTGTCCAACATGTACAGGATAACAAGTGTAGGTATGAACCTAAACATGAACAAAGGAATACAGGTAAATGGGGACAGTAAGACAGGGATGGTAGGCACACTGGTGCGCTTATGCACACCCTTTAAGGCCCTCTTAAGAATTTGGTCAGTCTTTACATTTTATGAGGGGAAAACTCCATATATCCTAGGTGCTGGTGGTCACCACTTGAAAGGACACAATTCGAAATTCTGTACAGGACACAGGGCAGGGAAGAGAAAGCAGCCTGGACGTGTGTGGAGTCTGTTCCCCTGTTCAAGGAACATCTGCAGCTCTTGCGTCAGCCTTCACAAGCACCATCCATGAAAGACTAACAGCAGTTGGAGAGTAAATTCGATCAGGGTTAGAACATATAATAAATAATAAGAGTTGGAAGGGGCCTTGGAGGTCTTCTAGTCCAACCCCCTGCTCGAACAGGAAACCCTATACCATTTCAAGTTAATGGTTGTCCAGGCTCTTTTTGAAAGGCTCCAGTGATGGAGCACCCACAACTTCGGAAAGCAAAATATTCCACTGACTGACTGCTCTCACAGTTAGGAAATCTCTTCTTAATTGCAGGTTGTTTCTCTCCTTGGTTAGTTTCCATCCAATGTTTCTCACCTTGCCTTTTTGTTCTGGCACTTTGGAGAATAGGTTGACCCCCGTCTCCCTCGTCTTTTTTTGCTGCAACACCGGCTAAGGCCCCTTCGTCCTAAATAACCCCTCGTCTTTTTAACACCGGTTAAGTCCAAAGTGGCTCCTCCGGGGCGACTCCAACCAATGCGCTTGCCAGGCTTGTGCAAACCCAACCAAAGGAGGCGCCGTGTGAACGCAGCCGGGGAGGGGACCCGGGTCTACGCCTTCCCAGCGGCTCAAGGAGCCCCTTTGGTGAGGCGCAGCGCTGCCCTTGTGAGGCGGCTGCAGAAAGCGCAACCGAGGCCCCCTTGGCGCGCCCTCTCGCCCCGGGACGCGTTATTTTCACGCCGCTTCAAAATAATAATAATAATAATAAAATAATAAAATAATAAAATAATAATAATAATAATAATAATAATAATAATAATAATAATAATAATAATAATAATAATAATAATAATAATAATAATAATAATAATAATAAAAACAACCAATTCCTCCCGCTTTATTCTTTCTTCCTTCGAATATAGAGGGCGCCTCCTTCCCCCCACCCTCCCCTGCTTTCCAGGGGTTCCCCCTTTTTTGGGTTTTGCGCGCGCGGGAAGCTTCTTCTCCTCCCCGGACGCTCGCGCGCCCTGCGCTTGGGGACGCGCCGAGCGCCCTCTGGTCCGTCTCTCCCGCGCCCTGCCCTTCCCCTTCCCGGCGTCCCACTCCGGCCGAGCCCCTGGCTGGGGCGGCCTCCAGCAAGCGGAAGGCGGCGGGAAGATGGCGGAGCCCGGCGGGGCCGAAACCTTCGCCGAGCGACCGTCCACGCCCAGCGGCAGCAGCCTCAGCAGGTGAGGACCGGAGGGAAGGACGAATCCCTCTCCTGCCTTCTCCCCCGCACCCAGCCGTCTCTAGTCCCACCTCCTTGGGGAGAGGGGGGAGGGCGCACCTTCTTCTCCCCACACCCCCGCACGGGACTCCGCTCCCCCCACGTCGGAGAGAGCCCTGAGGACGACGCGGTGCCCTCTTTCTCCCGCGGCCGGGTCCTCCCCCCGCGCCCCGCAGCTGTTTTGCATTTTAATTTTGATTGCGCTTCTCGGATATCTGATCCACCTCTGGAAACTGGGCGGGGCTGTTGCCAGGAGGCTGTCGGAGTGTGTGTGTCGGGGTGGGTGGGGGGTTACCCCAATGTACTGTATTGGCACGTCAGGTTTAATTAACCAGGTTACCGCATTAGCCCGTTTTCTACCTTTTGCACAGGATAAGGAAGCGTACCCACCTGCTGGCTGTGCACTCCAGGCTGAACTAGGATAGAGCCCGGCATAATTAAAGCTAAATCAAGGATAGGGCTCTGTGCAAATGCATGATGACTGACCTGGTTACGTAGGTTGTGTGAACGTGGGCAATGTAATCCTGGGTGAAAGTGGATCATCTTCCCCAGCTGTCATAGTTCCATATTCTTCTCCTCCTGTGTCCATCTGTCAATGGTATGATGAACTCCAGATCTGCCTATGTGTAAGGATCCATAAGGCTGGTGATGATGGAAGGTGTAGTCCATCACATCTTAATAGTGACTTGGGAGCTTTTGGGTCTTGCTTCCACTCCATAGTTCTCTGCCCTAGAAATATTTTTCCTCCTTTTAATGTCCTATAATGGTCCTTGACTCTTTTGTTTTGCCTTGTAAAGGTGGTTCCTCTCTCCTTTTAGTGCAGTCACATTTGTTGCTGAATGACTTCCCAGCAACCTCAACTAGTGCGACCCAACATCTGGAGAGCTACAGGTTGCTTTCACACAAAATGTTGATCACCTTTGCTAAATTAACCCAATCCTTTGCTGCTGTCTAGTGGCTGTGCCAATTTTTATAACCTAAAAGCAGGGGCTCTCAACCTTTTCTTCACCACGAAGATACCTTTTGTGGCCACAGACCTTGGCTACGGACCTCCAAGACTTAAGATTTAAATAATAACATTTCTTCAAGCCTTTCTGGATTCCCTGTGATGACATTGCAAACCCCTCAGGGATTCATGGACCTCAGGTTAGGGAACCACTGACCTAAAGTATAGTTGTGGATCTCTTGGTGTCTTCTGAGCTTGGTTGTTTGCTTGTAGACGTTTCTAGGTAACATCATCAGTGCTAGTAAGTGTGAGGTTTGCTCCCTGTTTATATCCAGTAGCTACTATATAAACAGGGAGCCAATCTTGTCTAATGGTTAAGGCAAATGACTAGAAACCAGGGGACTGTGAGCTAGTCCTGCCTTAGGCATGAAATCTAGCTGGGTGACTTTGGCCCAGCCATTCTCTCAGGTCAACCCACCTCACAGGATTGTTGCTGTGGGGAAAATAGGAGGAGAAAAGAGTATTAGCTATGTTTGTTGTCTTGAGTTATTTATAAAGTAATAAAAAATATTAAAGTTGGGCAATGAAACATCTGCAAGCAAGCAACCAAACTCAGAGAGAGCACCAAGGGCTCCATGGTTCAACCCTCAGCTAAAGATATTCTCTTCTGTTGAAAAATATGGTGGTCCTAATCAAGTTAAAACATTCTCACTTATTTTGACTATTATAAATCATCTCCGGGTATTTTGTGTTGTGTGAAGCCAGTTGCTATGCATCAGAGATGTCCCTTTATCTCATTATGTGATCATGTCCCCTGCAGCATTATTTTTTCTGCCCTCTCTTGTTTTTCCTCATATTTCCTATTTTCCCCTCTCTGGGAGGTCCTGGCTGTTCTCTGCTTGCATTTTTGTCCCGGGAAGTGAAAGGAGGCTTACTGGGTAAGAGGAAGGACCAGGCTGGTTCAGCATGCTGGTCCCACAGTAGCCACGGGGATGTCTTTGGGGAAGAAGCCCACAAGCAGGAGGAATGTTGTAATTTCTCCCGTCCCCATCTAAGTGGAAATGCTAGGCATGGCTACTTTCAGGACCATCAAACATCCACAACTTTTTCGGTTATATCTATTTTAAAAAAAAACCTATCGAAGTTCATCTAGAATCTAGATGAAATTATCATTTCATCCAGTGACCTGTGCTCAGTTTCACTGCATTCCCTTTCTTTATTGATCATAATCTCCTACAATTCTTATTCCCTCCACAAAAGATTCTACAGTTGTTTTCCTTTAATTGCTCCCTTGTCCCCATTATGTTTCCTGGTTGTAGGTTCTTTCCATAATCTTTTATTAAATTCTTATTTCCTAGATGAACTAGAAAATAGATCCCCTGACTCCCAGGTAGAGATTCCTCCCATTTGTTCTTTTCCACCTCATTTCTTATTTTCCCTTGAAGATAATTATGTGTTTTTTTCACAATTATTCTCTTTATTCTGCTCAGCTTTTTCCCTCTCTCGTATACTCCATTGGCCTGTGAAAACCGCTTGGTTTCAGTTTTCACCTAACCTGCTATATTATACACTTTAATTTCCTTATTTGCCTGTGTGATTCTCTCCTCCAGTCTCTTACATGTTCCCCAATACAGGTAGTCCTCAGCTTATGACCACAGTTAGGACTGGAACATCTGTTGTTAAGTAATGTGGTTGTTAAATGAATTGCACTCAATTCTTTTTGCCATGGTTGTTAAGCAAATCCAGCTTTCCCCATTGACTTTGCTCAACAGAAGCCAGCTAGGAAGGTCTTAAATGTGAACCCGGATGCTGTAACTGTCATAAATACACGCCAGTTGCCAAGCATCCAAATTTTGATCTCATCGCCATGGGGATTCTGTAACAGTCATAAGGTTCAAGTGGTTGCTAAATAAGTGGTCCTAATTCGAGGTATTTTCTTTAGCTTTAGGTGGGAAATGAACAGACGAAAAGATCTACTTCCCAGCCTTGCGTTAGACTTAGAGCTAGTTTGGTCTAGTGGTTAAGGCACCAGGCTAAAAGTCAGGAAATACTTCGCAGGGTTGTTGTGGAGAAAATAGGAGGAGAAATGAGTATGATATATGTTCACTGCCTAGAGTTACTTATAAAGTAATAAAGGGGGATAAAACATCTTTTTAAAAAAGATGCTTGGCTTCTTAATTGTTTTGTTCATTGCAATCCTTAATATTAGAGTGTCCCATTCAGTGCTCTTGTATGATACGTTGCTATCTTGCTAAAATTTTAATAAATAGCATAAACACCAGGATCAAGTTGAATTCTAAATATATCTACTTAAAATAGCTAGATTCCTCTGTGGTTGTTTTAATTGTGCCCATTGAGTGTGAGAGGCCTGAGTTTTACAAGCTCACAGGTGTGTGTGCATTTTATGGTGGATTATTTTCTTGATTTTCCGCCAAATGATTTACAATTAGCAGGTTTAGACTGATTAATGTACAATAGGGATATCAACTTTGTTCCTACAGCATTAATTGTTAGCAGAGGTTAAAGTGGGTTAAACTCCTAATAGTCAGCGTTCCAACCAAACTCCCCATCCCAATTCAGTGCTCAGAGACAGAGGCCACCCAAATAAGAATTTATGAGAGAAGTCATATTGGCACATCTGGGAAAACCCAAATCTGAATTCCCGCATTTTCCCTGCTATACTAAACTCACACCCAGCTCCCTACTGATGACCCTCGGGAGTCACACTCTCCCATCCACTTCCATTCTGAACTCCCACCAAGTCCAGCCACTCCCCTCCAAACTCCAGCAGCTCGAGCTCTGGCGAAAGAATGTTGTTGTGGCTATCGCCCCTTCTCACTTCACTCTCATTCCCACAGTTACCCATCCTCCCTTGTGGCAGCCCCAGGTCCGATTCAAGATGGATCCAAGATATTAGTGACACTAATATCTTAATTTGGAATTTCTAAAGTGTGTCTGATAGGTCCTTAAATGGCACAAATTTGGACAGATTGATCTTTAACCTGATTTAGGTTTTTTTTAAAAAAAAATTGAAGCAGATGAGGCTGGTACTATTTTGGGCACTTTCTGAGTTTCAAAATTACAGTATATAGGGATTTCAATCCAAACATCCTCTTTCAGGCCTTGCGGCCTTGCCACATACAAGTTGAACTTGAGTTACAATCATAATGGAGCGTGTCCATCCTGGTTGCAAGTTGTGACAGTTGTAAATCAGTCATCGACATGCAGCATTCATTAAGCAAATGCCGTGGTCATTAAGTGAACCAATGGTCTTAATATAGGCCAGTTACAAAGCACCTGATATGCAGTTACATGAGCAGCCTTCAGAACATAAGAACAGGGTCGTAAGCACTCCAGAGTGGTCCATTGTAACCAGTGGTGGGCTGCAACCAGTTTAACAACCGGTTCTGTGAGTGCGTGCTTTGCGCGCCCAGCATTCAAAATACAGCAATTTGAAGCTGAAATGCTTACCTTCTAGGGCAGCCCCGGTAAGTAGAACAGCTGAGCTGCAGAAAATAAAAGACAGGATAGGGCGGGGGCAGATGGGCGAGACCAGCTGATGGTCAGAGCTACCAGTTCACTAGAACCAATCCAAAATGGCAGCATCCCACAGATTGTAACTTTGAAATTGATTGTAAGTCATGTTTGCCTAACGAGCACAAAAAAGGTTGTGAAATTGGGTTGGTCACATGATCCATCTGTTTTATGACCATCACAAGAAACTTAACAACTGTGATTGGCAGGCTCCACTGTGGTCATATATCAAGTATTATCTGTAGACTCTTTAGTCACATTTATTGCAGTTGATTATGTCTGTCTTATCACTTGGTACCTGATTGTTATCTAATGGGCTGCCACAAAGAAGGGAGAGTCAAGCTATTCTCCAAAGCACCTGAAGGCAGGAGAAGAAGCAATGGGTGGAAACTAGTCAAGGAGAGAAGCAACCTAGAATTAAAGAGAAATTTCCTGACAATTAGAACAATTAATCAGTGGAACAACTTGCCTCCAGAAGTTGT